AACTTCTTAACCACCACTCTTATTTCTTGCAATTTCCTCATGTATGATTGTGTTTATGTATTTTAAATTGCAGTAGAGAACAGTACTAGAGATGAGGAGGAAAGAGAAAACAAAAGAACTGTTACTCAGAGCCTACTTTGGGGCAGATTCTATGAAAACTCATGTAGTTTTCATTTAATTTGCCCTATGATCCAGTTTTTATCCAACAGATAAAAAAAACGAGCTTCGGGTTTACTCTGTCTCCAGAGATCCTATAACTGGTAATTGGCAGAGCTCATATTCAAATCCAAGTTTGTTGCTCTGTAAACCCATATTCCCTTATGAAGGCAGCTTCTGTTTTTATTCTGTGGTCTTAAAATCTCTAAATTGTAACTATCTAAAACAAGCAATGCTTTTTGAGTCTTGAAAAGTCAGGATACAACTTTTATGAAATAATTTCAGATTTTGTGATCTTTAAGCTCATTGTTACTTTAAATATATAATCTGATTTAAGAGGAAACAATTCTGTCAAATGCCTTCTCAAAAATTATTTTTAAAAGGTATTTCACTTCTATAAAACACAGCAGCTTTTTCTGACATTTTAAATAGAAGCCTTATTTTAAATTTAAAGGAAACTCAAAAATAAACATTTTTACAAATTATATCAAGCACTTAAAATATAATTTGGGAATGTTAAACATTAATTCTTAATTCAAAACAGTGACTTTCATAGAATAAACCCTGGTGTTGGCCAATATGAAGTTACTTAAATCTAGTATTTTATGTAAGCTTAGCCATTATTAATCCTTCCTAAAATTCACTGATTGTGATTCAACTTTGAAAAGTTAAGCAAGTCTTCTATGTAATACCTTAGTTAACTTTTTCAAATATACAACATTTATACCAGCAGGGAAATTATAAAAACATATATAAATTATACCGAAGGGCTTTATTACAAGGCCGTCTTTTTACAGATACATGCAGTTCACCCTAGAAAGCACACATGGACACAAAGACACTTACTCTAATATAGATGCAATTCTCTTACAATTACATAGCAAAATGAAGGTTTATATTGAAATGTGAGGAAATACAAACATAATAGAGTGTTCTTCATACCAACTTCACTGTTATTTCATTAAAAGCAATTATTGCTCGAGAAAATGCATTTTCAAGTGTGTTTCAGTATAAACACACACACTAACATTTCCAAAGCCAAAAAAGAGCTTCCCTTTTAGAACCATTCTGTTAGCCTTTAAAAGGAAAATTTTGTCGAAGGGTTGAAATGGTACGGGGCCATCTTCTTTTGTATCCCTTGACTTAAAGATCTGAGAGTATTTGGGTAACGTCTCTTCCCTTATCTGCTGATTAGAATAAACTCAACTGAGTTGATTGTGCCCAGAGCTCAGTATGTCAAATGATTTTCAGCTTTTGTTCTTAAATCCTTCCCAGATTCTTGTCTTATTAAAAGAAACTATATCTTTTAAGCTTAACATGTTTGGGACACCCTCAAATTCCCACTTCATGTCTTACCAGAGAAACACCTTTGACTCAGACCTTTAGACGGAGGTCTAGCTCTCTCGTGGTGACTATCATGGCTGATGTGGGAGCTACTAATGGGTAAATCCAAGAGCTTCACTCTCCTGCCAGGGCCCTTTAACACCTTTAGGTTGCTCTTCTTTTGAAGGAAGTCAGGAAAGACTGCTGATGACTGTGAATGAATGCAGATAAAACCTAAAGTGTATACTTAGCCTTCATCAGCCCAACAGTCTTCCAAGCCAAAAAGGAAAAATTAAAAATTGTGATCACTGGGGCTGACTGGTTAGCTCAGTTGATTAGAGCGTCCTGCTGATAACACCAGTGTTGCCGGTTCGATCCCTGCATGGGCCACTGTGAGCTGTGCCCTCTCTAAAAGAGTTAACTATGCCATTGTAGCATGAAAGCAATGTGTAACCAGTGACCATGGATGTTTCCCAATTAAAAAAAAAAAATGTGGTCACTGAATAACTCAGTCCCTGGGTATTCAGTAGCAAGTTGGAGACTATACACCCATGCACAGTCCCTTTTATCTGCTTGATGGGCAGTGTTGATCTCTTTAAAAAGAAAAGTATAATCAAGTTTGGCCAATAATTTGAGATTATGTTTAAAAAAATTAGTAATTTCTAAGATAACTCATGATTTTGAATATAACTGTATTTCCTGTGGTCATACGGTATACTGTAAACTGATTATAAGTATTTATTTGGTTCAATTGCTTGACATACTTTTCCATGTGTGATCTTCATGTACCTTCTTTCTTGCTGTATGGCCTACCTATTGCACTTACGTACACATTTAATTTTCATACATATGTATATATTCTTAATGGGGGCAACTAGTGAGTAGAAGGCAGTCATTTCTCATGCATTGTTGATGTGTGTTGACATAGATACTCAGTAATAATGTTGAAATATTAATGTTTTGCTACAAGTTCCCAGAACTATTCATCACTATTGCATTTATTAATATAGTCCAAGAGAGTACACATGATAAAAATCCATACTGTAATATAGTTGCAATTAACTCAATTCACCAGGATATAATCTCTTCTATTTTTAGTCAAAGGCTCTAGACCAGCGGTTCTCAACCTTCCTAGTGCCGCGACCCCTTAATATAGTTCCTCATGCTGTGGTGACCCCCAACCATAAAATTATTTTCTTTGCTACTCTATAACTGTAATTTTGCTACTGTTATGAATCGTAATGTAAATATCTTTTTGTTTTCCGATGGTCTTAGGCAACCCCTGTGAAAGGGTCGTTTGACCCCCAAAGGGGTCACGACCCACAGGTTGAGAACCACTGCTAGACATTCTCTCTTCTTCTTATTCTTCATGAGTTATAGCTGTTGTACCATAATTTGCCTTTACTTTATAACACTTTACCACACACTTGAATCTCAATAAACACATTTACTTACATGCATCCAATGGAAATGAAAAAAAATGAAGGCTATGTTTTCTTGAAGAACTGCTGCTATATAGAAAAATCTCATATAGACAGAAAAAATAGCTAGGATAAGAGTGAACCTTATCAGGTTGATGATTTAGCAAGATATTTTGCCACCTGCTTTCACAATCACACAGATGAGGGTAACCACCCATAGAAGTCAAATACATCAGCATTGTGGCTCATCCTAAAAATTAAATCCCAAACCATGTACAGTTAGTATAGTAAAAATGCCAGTAAATTTTAAAGCTATTTCTGATTAATCTGCAAAATTATTAGGGTAGGGGAAAGGATTCCAAACCTTAAATTATAAAATAAAATTAATTCTGCCACATTTTAGTTTTAAAATTACCTAATATATCCGTAAATGTTATTTCTACTTATAGGAAAGCACATCTAATATATAAAAGTGAACCTTTAACTTAATTTTAAAGTAATTATATACTCTTGCTAAAATGATCATTTTATCAGTCTAATTTTTTATATTAGTTTCAGGTGTACTGAACAACATAATGATTAGACATTTAACACCCCTCACAAAGTGATAACCCCACCAAGTCTACTACCCATCTGATATTGTACATAGCTATTACAATACCATTGACTATACTCCCTATACTATACGTTACATCCTGTGAATGAATACACACACACACACACACACACACACACACACACACACGTATTTAATTATAGTTGACATTCAGTATTATTTTATATTAGTTTCAGGTATACAGTACAGTAGTTAGGTATTTATATAATCTATGAAGTGATCCCCCTGACAAGTCCAGTACCCATCTGACACCCTACATAGCCATTATAACATCATTGATTATATTCCCCATACTCTGTTTCACATCCTCATGACGATTTTGTAACTACCAATTGTACTTCCTGATCCCTTCACCTTTCTCACTCATTCCCTACTCCCCTTCCATCTAGCAACCATCAGTTTGTTCTCTGTATCTATGAGTCTGTTTCTGTTCTGTTTGTTTATTTATTCTGTTTTTTAGATTCCAATATAAGTGAGATCATATGGTACTTGTCTTTCTCAGTCTGACTTGTACCACTTAGCATAATATCCTCTAGGTCCATCCATGTGGTGGCAAATGGTAAGATTTCATCCTTTCTTATGGCAGAGTATCAATCTAATTTTTAATATTAGACTGAGTCAAATAATATTTCTAGATAGAATTAGATATCTTTTTAAGTAATTTAATAAAACAATTCTATCTACCTTCCTGTCTACCTATCTGCCTATCCTTCTAAATATTGGTTAATGTTACTTTTGGCTGCAAATTACAATAAACCTTACTAGAGAGCTCAAACCAAGAATAATTTTTCCAGTATAACAAGAAGTCTGACATAGGCAGCACAGGCTGCTGGAGGCCCTCAGAATATTCTCAAGGTTTCTTTTCTATTTCTGTTTTGTTGTCTTTCATTGTGGCTTTCTTCTCACTAGTTATATGAAGTTCGTTGCATCTTCAAGTATCCTGCCCCTATTCCAGTCAGAAGGGAAGGGATAGAAACACAACAAACTAACTAGCCAGCCAGAGGAACATACCAGCCAACCATGCTACTTTTAAAAAGCTTTTCCAGGAGCCCCACTCTGTGACATCAGCTTATATCTTATTGACCAACATTGGTTTACATGGTCCCAATTATTGCAATATGGCTAAAGAAAAGAAAAATTTGGACAGAGACTGAGTCAGTTAACCAATAATGTCTGGCACCAAGGTTAAAGTTTAATACTTAAATACATATACATATACATATATATGTTATAAATTAGTTTAATATGTATATTTATGCATATACATTGGTTTATCTATGTATTGTATATATGTTGTATATATAGTTCATATATATAATCAGTCATCTGTTGCCACTATAATGCTGGATAGATAGCTCTTGTAAAACTCAGTGGCATACCATCATAAAACACTTCTCTTCCATACATCAGCTGATCATCTGGGGCAGGTCTGCAGGTTGTTGGGGCAGTACTGTTCACGTCTCTCATTTTTCTAAACCCAACAGACAACCCAGGGCATGTATTTCTCATGGCAATGGCTGGAGCACAAAAAGGTAAGCCTAATTTGTACAAACACATTTTAAGCCTTGCTTGTGTCACTCAACTGCCAACATCAAATTGGCCAAAACAAGTCATATGACCAAGCCCAGCATCAGTGTAGGGAAGTGTATTCCTCCCATGGAGATGAGGAGCTTAGGAAAGTGATGACTAATATACTGTTTTGGAAAAGAAAGGCTGTTGTTTGTAGAAGCAATTGAAATTAATTTACCTGTTTTTAAAATCTAATTTCCTAAGTTTTAGCAAATTTTAGCCGTGATCTCATAAAATTTCTGAATGGTTCTGATGGATCTTGTAAATTCTTCCCCCTAGTTCACTTATTGATGTATTTTTTTCAAATCAGTAATGACTAGTACATTTATTGTGTCTTGAAATTTGAATTTTGTAGTGCAAATCCTCATCTCCAGGGTTATACTCTCAGAAATGTTTTATTTTATCAAATATTTTTGTATTTCTAAAATACAGAGCTTGTCAAGAGGCCAGTTCTAACTAAATAAGCAAAATCTTTGAAATATAGTTATATTTAGGCTCTAAATTCAAATTAATATTGATTAATCTCTTATGGTGCACAAAAATGACAAAAAATAAAGTCAGCTATTGTGCTTTTTCCCCTTGATTTCTGAAATTATATAGCTATGGGCCACAATAATGACAAAACATAAATAAAATGTAAAATTGAAGCTGTTTTACAGATAATTGAAAATAAATCTTTGAGCTAAAATTGCACGACCTTTTAACAAAGTGTTTTGGTCTTCAATTCTGCATGCAGTCTGCATTTTGTTTGTATATGTAAGCACTGTCACAAATGAGAGAAAACGTGGGATTGAGTCTTATAGTTTCCATTTTCTAATGCAAATATAAAACTTATTTTAAATTGTACATTTAGAGAAACTTTTCTAATATATGATAGGAAAATGCAAAGAAGAATATGTATTAGAAAAAAATAAATGACTTTTTTAATCAAGAGATTAAAATGTCTTCCTACCATATTATAATGAATGTGTAGATTAGATTATGGGGTTAAAATATTAATTTTCACTACAGCTTTTTAGGATGCTTATTATCCAAGTAAAGTCAGCAGACCAGTAAAGGTTTTACAATGCGAGAATATCCAGCAAAATTAGAAATTGTTCAAGAAAACAAAAAAGACAGTTATTGATTTAAAAGTATGTAATCTCTTTACATACTAAAATCCATTTTTTTAATGTATTTGTAATGTTAGCATTTTACTTTTACATTTTTTACTCAAGTTTCCAGGTTGACAGCTACTTAGAAACAAATGTGGGGGTTCATAAATCTTGCCACATGTATCTTTAAAAGAGCAAGATTATACTAATGTTTTCAAAAGGATTGCATGGTAAATTATTAGTCATGAAAATGAGTAACAGGTTGGTCATGTGCCCAAAAAATCAGGAAGAATCTATCGGAAGTTGTTAAAATCGTTCAGACATGAGCAACTCTGGGTTTCAGCCAGGTCTGTAGTGGTAGCTTTGGAATAAGTATCAGTAACAATAACCCTAAGTTGTGTTAAAAATGTAGAACATTGTAATTATCAATTTATTTTTTTATGTATCTGACAATGTTCCTTAATGTTGTAATGATTGAAATATAGTAATGATTTTTCAGATGAAAAAAATATAATAAGACTCAGGAGAGTTAAGGGACTTAGCTGGTATCATTAGAACTAACAAGTAATGATGTTAATGGTGCCCAATCAGACATAATTTTCCACATGTTAAATGTGCTCTTTCCTGCATTTTGTCTTGAGGGAAAGCATTTATGATTTATTTTTTAAAGGAATAATTCATAGTTTTAGTGTGATAACTAGACTCCAAAGAATAAGATGGAGGGAGAAGGTACGGCCATGCCTTTAAGCTGAATGATGTAATTGAGAGGAGTGGGTGGCGGAGTTTGACATAATGATGAAAGAGCCAGATGGAGAGGTCCTGGTGGTATTTGGAGATCCAGAACTGGAACTGATTAGAGAGGACTGGAAATACAGAAACAAAGTAATTGGCATAAGAACAATGATTGGTTTATTGATTTTTTGAGGTATTGTTTACATATAATAAAATACTCTTATTTTAAGAGTGCAGTTCAAAGGGTTTTAACAATTGTATATCCTCTTGTAACTGCTACCCAAATCAAGATACAGAAAATTTTGATTGCCCAGAAAGTTGCCTTGTACCCCCCCGCAATTTTCTGTCTCCTCCCAACCCACAAACACTTTCTGGTATCTGTCACCAGGGATTAGTTTTAGCCTTTTCACTTATGAAATGATATGCTATGTATTCTTTTGCTTCAGTCTTCTCTCTCTCAACATAATACTTTTGAGATTCTTGCATGTTGTCGCATTGCTAAGTATAGTTCATGTATGGATGTAACACTATCCATTCTCTTTTTGATGAACGTTTGAGTTGTTTCTATTTGGGGCTAATATAATAAGACTGTAGGAACATGCATGTGCAACTCTGCCATGGACATGTTTTCATCTCTCTTAGGTACATACCTAGGAAAGGAATTGCTGGGTCAAAGGTAGATGTGTGTTCATCTTAACAGGAAACTACCAAGCAGTTTTCCAAGTAGTGGCATCCTTTTACATCCCCAACAGCAGTCATACAGGAGTTGCAGTCGCTCTACATTTGGTATCCATAGTCTTTCTTAAAAGGCATTCTACTGATTATTTAATCTTTAAAATAGGATCTATTCAGTTCTTCCCAGCAAAGAACACGATGCCAAGGACCCGGTTTTGGAGGAAGACCTGTGGTGAGGAGGCCGGTGAAGGGAGAACAGTGAATAAAAAGGAGGGACAGAGGAACTAAGAGAAGCATCGAGAAGATAGGGAGGAGTGATTTTTCAACCAGCTCCTGTCCCGCTGAAGTTCCAGGAGGGTGAAGAATGAGAAGTCTGCTCAATTTAGCAAAAAATGAACTAAAGACAATACAGATTTAGTTGAGTTTTTAAAAGGACATATAAGCCTGGTGCAGCAGGTTAATAGGAAGCAATCATGAGTGCTGAAGAGGTAGGAGCCTATGATTTTGCAGAAGTAAATGTAGAAATGTGGTTGTGAGGGAGATGAGAAAAATAAAATGACAACAGAGTAGTGATGGTCATTCGTATGGATTAGAGATCTGTCTACCCAGAGGGAAAAGAATGTTTGAGACAGTTACTCAAGAATTGTGTTTGAAAACAATTTAATTGCATGTGTGTGTGTGTGTGTGTGTGTGTGTGTGTGTGTGTGTGTATGCACATTATATATAATAAACTTTAATAATTATGTGGACAGGTCAATGTAGGTAGCAATTATGAATTTTTATCCATTCAAAATATAATAATTAAAGGCCCAGTATATGCCAGGGCCGTTTTTATCTTCTCTCCATTTTCATTCTAGTTACATGTTTGTCTTCTTATCCACATGAACTTTGAGATTCTTCTTCTTTCCTTTGATCTCGTAACTTCAAACATCAGTACTTATAAACTTTAAACCAAGTGTGTAGGTTGGGTCTTGGTTCATTCCAACGAGAAAATAAAGGGCTTTTCTATTAGTAGTGGCCCTTAACATTTTCTAGCTCTATAATATTTTGTAACTCTCTAACCTTCCCATCTCTTATCAGTTAGATACGAGCGTCTCTTCAGCACTTTCCAGATTTCTGTGCTTGTACGGTGCCCAGGAACTAGAGTTCCTTCTTTGAATTTCATAGAGCTGGGATCATAAAATCAAAGTTGCAGATAAACCTTGCTGATTCATCCAGATACTCCTACCAGATCACTGAGTGATTGCATTGTTCTACATTAATGACATGACAAGCATCAGAAGAGAGTTACTTCATTCTTATACTTCATTCCTTCAGTGCTTATGGAATATTTGCCGTATTTAAGACACCATACTAGGCTTTGAGGAAGAGACAAGTAGAGAATGTCATCTTTAGCATGCCAAAAATGATTTCATTTTCTGTTCACTAGGAGATCTAGGATATTTGTATTCAAAGAAGATTTCTACCGAATTAAAGTTTTCCATTACAGTAATTTGTGTTATCGCTCATATTTATTGAGCATTGAACATATGCCAAGAAGTGACCGGTCATCGTGGGAGACCTGCCTGGGTCAGACAAACCATCTTTATCACGGAGGGGGAAAAGATTCAAGATTATCTCAAATGTCTTTCCACTTTAGGAGTAGGGGGAAGCATCAACACTTTCTTTTTAGCAAATCTGATGCTTGTAAAACCCAGACTTTGTTGATTTTGAAAATAAAGAAAAAGAACAGAACAGAAATAACCTGGCTTTAGCTGGAAGGCAGAGAGTACAAAGATGTGTATTGTGCAGTGCAGAGCACAGATAAATTAGATGGTTAAATTATCTATTAGATTAGATAATAACATTTAAATTCATCTAACAAATTTGTTAATCTAATGTTTCATAATTTTCTGGGCTAGTTAAACAGTAGGTAAACCCCGCATAGGACAGGTTAATCCACACATTCCTTTATGATCTGTGCACTCTACTTACATATAATATCTTTTGAAGATGAATATGGGGAATTGAAGATGGTGCAAAAGTCAGAATGAAAGAGTTAAAGTTTTGAAATTACTTCATCAGGAGCAAAAGGGGAGCTTAATGATATTTTTAAAGTTATGTTTAAATAAATTGAACGCTATTGCACAATAGGCAGGGTTTTACTGTTTGAACTGGGACACATGTCAAGAAAGAGGATTCCACATAAAAATGTGTATTTTCTTTACTAAAATATATTCAGAGGCCTGTATAACTATGTACTTGCAATTTTTTAAAGGCTTTTCCAATATATGAGAAAGAATCTCATTTCTAAAGGTGGTGGAGGAGCTGGTTCTGCTCCACCTCTGTCAAGCAGTGGGCCTAGAGCGTATTGCCCAGCCTTTGTGGACATCTCTTTTTTTCAAGCAGAAAACAAGGGGTTTGGGCAAAAGGATCTCCCAGGTCCTATTCAGGTCTATGATGCGCTAAGCCAGTGATTTATT